AAATCTAATAGCCTGGGGGAGAAGCAGATGACGGTGAAGAACCTGCATTTCCCAGCACAATACAGAAAGCAGTGGGCAGAAACGTGTCAGTGGACACCCAAGCAGATGCACCTCTCGGGTGAAGAAGCAGAAGCTGACTTAGCAGCAGGATATGTTTCAGAGATGAATGCCCAGGAGGCTTCAGAAGGTGCCCTGAACATCTGCTTCCTCCATTCCAGCCTAGGACTAGATGTGTCCATGTTCCCTTCAACCTGTAAGTACAGCAGGGACCCAACTGTGACTAAGTCCCAGGTGGCTCCTTGGTGCTCCTTGTCCTGATTCATTGCCTGAAAGTGCTGGTTTGGTCTGTGCTGGGTGGATCTATTGGTGCACATGGAGAGCACTTACTCCCAGGTGCTTCATACGCACGTGGGAGGGTGCAGGAGCATCTCAGTTCCTTCACCCTTACTGTGTCCCTCACTGACAGTGGTGTGACACCACCCTGCCAGAAAGCAGAGGAGACTCCTTGTCACCCTGAGCGAGCCCCTGACCTCACAGTGTGGCCCTCAGTCCGTTTTCATGGGCCACCAGCAGAAGTTAAGTCTGAAGACCTAACTCAAGGCTGAACTGAAGGTGGTTGCTGAACGTAGACAAGAGAAGGATCAAGCAGTGCTCAGTCCCCCCCCCTTCCTTCAGTGGTGCCATGAGTCAGGGGAGATGGGATGTGTAGGGAGATCCAATCCCCAGAGCGGAGCCTGGTGATCTCCTCTAGGGCGAGCGAGGCCTGCAGCTGGGTTTTGCTTGACGTCTCCAGGCTCTAAGGATTTAGTGTAGATAATAAAAGAGTCAGTGGGAAAGAGGATCCCTTGGTGTAGGCGATTCCCTGGATCTTTTCCTACATACCACTGTGACCTTCTCTCACCTGCCGTGCTTGCATAGTGCTGCTGTCTCCTCCTCCAAATTCTAGATTCCAAGAGTGAAAAAGCTGTAGAATAGCTTAAAACAGCAGATAAAATCTCATCTGCACAGTCTTAGGGACTGAAGAATATTTAGGGCAAGCCTGCCCTATGAGAGAGTTGGGGTTGTTCTGGAGAGGAGAAGGCTCCAGGGAGACCTTCTGATGGCCTTCCAGTGCTTAATGGGACCTGTAAGAAGGATGGGAAGGGACTCTTCATCAGGGGGTGCAGTGACAGGATGAGGGGTAATGGCTTCAAACTGAAAGAGGAGAGATTTAGATTAGAAATTGGGAAGAGATTCTTCACCCTGAGAGTGGTGAGTCACTGGCCCAGGTTGCCCAGAGAAGTTGTGGATGCTCCAGCAGTAGATATGTTCAAGGCCAGGTTGATGGGGCTTTGACCAACCTTGTCTAGTGGGAGATGTCCCTGCCCATGGCAGCAGGGTTGGAACTAGATGGTCTTTAGGGTGCCTTCCAAACCCAAATAATTCTGACTCTAAGATTCCTGCATGCCACTGAGGTCCCTTGTTGACCTTGGAGGTACATTGAAGTCTTCTAACATCTATATTTCTGCTAGCAGACCTTTGGAAGAGCTTGTATATCTGCTGCTTTACAGGTGGACATTTGTTGAAATTTGGAAGTGCTGAGCTTCTCCTGCTCACCTCACGCCTACATCAAGTCAGATTTCACAACCAGACACTTTCTTCTCCCTTAGCCCTTGCTGACCCCAAACTGGTGAACATCTTCAGGGCCCACCCAATCTCTGGGTGCTTAGATACATACCCAGGCTGAAATTCTTTGTTTCCCTGCTGTCATTTGCAGTGTTAGTCCCACTATTTGATGCTGCTGCCTCTTCCAAAGAGTGTAACTGAGACCAGATATTAAGTACAACATTAAGGCCATTTTTCAGGACAAAGACAATTTGAAATTTTGTCACTTATCACAGACAGCAAATTTCAGTGCCCAAAGGGCAATAAAGCATTCAGAAGAGAGAAGTGACTCTTCCTATCCTACAACCTAATGGTTAATTGCATTCTCCCAGGAATCAATGAGTTTGTATCTTCTGAGGAGCGTGAACCTTCCAGTGTCCTCTGTGTGAGAGCTCTAACCACAAGGTCAGTTCCCCCACAAAGGAGAGACATCTCCACAGCTGAATTCTCTGGGAAGGAAAGATTCCTCATGGTTCTTTTTAAAAAAGTGCTTCTTTGACACCACAAATCACAGCTATATGTGCCTGGGGCTGTTCTGCTCTTTTTGAGCCACCAGCAGAGGATTCCTACTGCTTCCATATGCTCTCAAAGACAACTTTAATTTTCCAGGTACCTGGAGTTGGATCTGTCTACATAGATTCATATCAACTCCCAAATAGTTAAACTGCTTTGAATGAAGATAATTTTGCAGAAGAGGAAGGTAGGAGGCCACTAAAACATCAAGACCTGAATCTATGGAGGAACAGGGATAAGCTGTGAGCAAGCCCTCCTCATCTCTGAAGAAAGGGATAACGTTGCTGGAGCCCATCACCATCAGAGGCAAGTTTAGACCCCAAGTGACAAGATCCCAGCTTCCTGTTGTTACACCAGGACCAGCAATGGGGACTGTGTTACGTGTGCTCGTGGTGGTCATCCATTGCTCGTTTCCAGACCCCACATGCTGCCTCTGGGGGACGAATCCCTGCTATGTTCCATATTCTTTCTGCATCTCTCTCTTGATGTAGCCCAAGTGATGACCTGTCACCATCAATTCAGCTTTTCTGCATTTCCCACCTTGTCACATCACGTAAATAACCCAACAGTTTGCCACCAGCAGCCCTTGTGAGGGCAAAGTTCTCCACACTCCTTCCTTGGTTAGCTAAGACAAAGGTTATTTGTGAATATTGCTGCTTTTGTGTTAGGACTTGTTTTGTTTCAGGATCCCACTTTCAACCCTCCAATGTTCAACCCTGCAGAGAGCAGCCAGGGCTGTTGTTCTCCTCCTGCTGAGAGGCTGTGCAATGCTGGGTTGCCCCTGCATACCAGTTCCTGGGGAAAATAATGTAATCACCTCCCCCTCACACTCCTTCCAGTTTAAAAGAGGTTTGGAATGAGCTTTACTGGGAAGGACAATCAGACAATACCTGTATTTGATGCAAAGAGGAAGGCTGGGGATGGGAACGGCTTCCTCCTGCCTCACCAGAGAGGTACCACAGCAAGGTTATGAAGAAGGGTGAATTATTCCCCCAGTGACTGTAGCAGGGGCTAAGGGTAGTGTTGATGGAGGGCGATTTCAGTTTATGTTGCTCCAGGGAGAGGTGGTTTGGGGCTTTCAAGCTCTGTTCTGAAATTCAGGGCAGCACCAAGAGCAGGGTTGGACACCAAGGAGGAGATGGGCTTAGTCTGGTGTGACCCACCTACAGCCTGGATCATCACATATGCACTGGGATGGGAAGACCTGAGCTCGGGCCCCGTAGCTGCTACTTCCTCCCTTGCTGGAGCAGACATGCAGATGTGCTTGGAGGGGGTGGCTTGGCATCTGGAGTAGCTGCTGGCAGCCTTCAACCTGCCCAGCTTGCAAGTACCCTTGGGCACACTTGGCAAGGATGTGCAGAGTTCTCTAGCCTTCTCCAGAGACCAGGCAATGGGTCCTGTTCTAGCAGTCTGTGCCTCAGCATTATAGACCTGTCTGTCCTGACAGGGGACATCTTTCCAAAGAGAAGCTGCCCTGCATTGTCTCCTAACCCTTTGATTTGCTGTGCTGGGTCCACCTCATCCCATAGGAACTGGTAAGTTGGAAGGACTCAGCAATTTTTCTGCACTGGGGACACGGGAGAGGCCTTAGCAACCTCTGCCAGCAAATGTCTCTTCTCTGTAAGCACCAAGGGCATGATGAAGGTGAGTATTTGAGTGAAAGCTGCCCTGCCAGGGCTCTCCACGTGGTCCTGCCCCACGAGCCTCTCACGCAGGGCTGGTTAGACTCATGTCTGGGCTGGACTGACTGGTTTCATGGGCCAAGGATGATGATCATCCATGATTCTATGATCATCTATGGTTTATCATAGATGGTAACCTGTCCTCCTGGCCATGGTGTCGGCCTCTCCTTTCCTCCTTTAACCTGCAGCCTGGGACCATTCACTACACAAAGCCAGTGTCAGGCTGGGGGATGAAGGAGGATCTCAACAGTCCCTTAATGCAACCACCATGCAAAGCTGCCCATTTTAAAGCCAAGCAGCTTTCTCCTGCCTCTCCATCTGCTTTCTGCTGCTTCACAGATCCCTTTCCACCCATTACACATCTCAAACCATCCCTGGACATCCTCCTTTTCTTTCTCCTAATGAAGATTGATTCCCTCATTCCCTCCAGGTCTTTCCTTTCCTATCTCTCCCTCTGCACTTCAACAAGCCTTGATCTTCTCTCCAGCACCCATCAAGAGCTTGTGGCAGCACCTACACTAACCTCCAGGCTTTGTTCTTTCATGCTCCCATCCAAGACTACCCGAGGTACAGAGCTGACTCGAGAGCTTATCTTAAAAGGTGTCCAACGCCTTGGTGCCACCATCACATCCCGGTGTCTCCTGAGGTCATTGAGGAGAAGGGGTGCTCTCAAATGGGGGTTGGTATGTGTTAGCTGGCCTTGCTTTCCTGTCGGTTGTTTTAACAGGCATCAAGGGCTTCCTGAGCAGCACAGGAGCTCGGTTCCCCTGCGTTGTAGGGCTTTCTCCATCCACCTTGAGGGAAACAAACTGCTTCTTTGTGAGACAATTTTACAGTGAGGTGCTCATTCAACGCAGGTTATAATCAATTGGCAAGCATTTTTCATAGCTGATGGGTGGGCCTGATCCTGGTCCCAGCTGAACCAGGGGCTGGTCGAAAAGTCAAGAGCTCCAGCCCTCCTCATTTGGTGGACATTCACAGGTTCTGGACCAGGAGCAGGCTCACCAACCAGCCTGAGGACATCCCAACCATGCGCAGGCTGCTTGGGGAGCGCTCTGCAGAGCCACTTGTCACAGGGCAAATTCCAGCTTGGGGGTGGCAGATTGTTGTTGTGCTCCAGCTCTTGACAGCTTTGCAATGATGGTCTTTCTCTGCTTCCAGGACCTCTGAAAAAACCACTGGTGCTACAGATCAAGAACCAAGTACCTTAGTGCAGGACCAACGCACGTGAAGTCGAGCACTTTCTTCTGAGAGCAATTTGATGGAGCAAATGTATAGTCTGCATGAAATGTGTCTCGTGTGGCTGGCATACAATAAACCCGATGATCAGAGTTGAGTGACAGTTTCTCTTATCTCTCAAGCACTGAGAAGTTCCTGTCACCAGGACCTGTGTAATGCAGTTAGCATGTCTGTGCCTTGATTTATATTCAGTAAAGTCCAAGAAAGAAACATGGGTCCAATTCTGCCTTTATTCATAGCTGTGGAATGACACTGGTTTCAAGGGTGTCTCTACTTCATATGGCAACAGAGAGATCAGATCCATTTCCATAACTCATAGAATTTTCATACCAGATTCCAGAGATTATCCCAGAAGCATAGATGAGAGCATCAGCAACTCCTTTCAAAACTTCTTGGAAGATTTAATGCTTTATAAATCCTTAACTGCTGTCAGGAACTCACATTTGGGTGTCACCAGGTGAAGTACACCTGGTGTAAACATCTGGCAAATTCCCCTTGTCATTGTGTTGTAGCCAAGAACATCTCAGAACTTCTTCTGTGGCTGTTAATATTCAATTTGTTCAATTTGGCATTTAGGGCAAATGCTGCACGAGACACCAAAACCTTGCTGTTAAATTAATGCTTGTTCTCAGCATTTTTTCGAAAAATGTTTCCTGTGAAAAAATTGTAAAGTATGAGCTGGAAATGTTGTAGGAGAAATACAACTGGTTCATGGGGTTAGCCAGTCTGGTTGTTCTCTATGCCCATCTTTTCTGGATGAGGCTCCCTACACCCATGAGATGTGTTCAGCATGTGATGGGAGGTGTTGTCCAGCCCTAGAGCTGCTCCCTGAAAGATGGCAGAGTGCATGAAGTACCCAGACTGCAGTTCTAGCAAGGAACTGGCCCAGCACACCCCAGTAAATACTTCTAGGGTTAGACTGAAGCACCGTCACGCTTAGAGATGGGATTTGCCTTACATTCTGCAAGTGCTAAATTTTAACTTTCCAAATTGATTATGCGAGGCAGATACTTCATCAGAAGTGGGAGGAGCTGGGCAGCTTCCCTGGGGCATGACAGTTGCAAAACCCTCCAAAAGCAGAGCTTTCATGCTGGGACATGTTCAAACAGAAACTGCCTTGGCCTTGGAGAGGTTCTTCAAGTATTTCCAAGTGAAAATGCAAGTCTATGATACACCCCCTGCTCCTACTACATAAGTACTCATCCTATACCAACCCCTCTGCTCTGGAGGAGTAAATCAAGAGTGATTCCAGCCAAAATCTATACAGACTTGGGACAAAACCAGAGGGATCCATCCATGGGACCTTGAAGGCAAAGCAAAAGCCTAAAATTGCTTCAAATTCCTGCT